ACAGATGGCTGGCTCATTGAAATGAGCTTGAGAGCACAAACCAGCAAAATGAATAAATGCCAGAAGAAGAAAAACCTCTATTTTATACTTAACAGTTAATATGGAGGCAGTACGGTGGTTAGATCTGTCACCTCACAGCAAAAAGGTACTGAGGTCAAATCCCATCTGCTGCCTTCCTGTGTGGACTTTGCTTTAAGTTGACTGATAACTCTCAGTTGCCTGTAGGTGATTGTTTGTCTTTGTGTGTCAGTCCTATGATAGTCTGGTGACCTCTCCAGGAGGTGCCTCTCGCCCAAAGCTGGCTGGGATAGGCTGCAGCTAAGCAGTAGAGATAATGGATGGATGGATAGTTTATATGGAACTGAGAGAAGATTTCTGTCTTTTTAGCATAATTATGCAAAATAAGCCGAAGCGGGTGATGAAGCTGTGTTACGTCCGTCACTCGGGCCGCCCCAAGTACCTCGGTAGCAGGCACAGGTAGTTCCAGCAGCTCCGCCCCCGCACAGGTGAGGGTGCATTCCAGGTGACGAGGCACACCTGCTCTCCATTATCGGAGCAGTATATAGGGTCAGCATTGGTGCATCCTCGTCACCAGATTATATGTGTTATCCTGTTGGTAACTACGTTTTATGTTCATGTCAAGGCCTCAAGTTTATGGACCATTGCTTGATCTGCGCTCCTTTCGCAACATTGTGAACAGTTATTGCGCATAGTTCTGTTGTATCGGTTTTTGTGCCCTTCTGATGTTTAAAGGGGTTTTTGGTTTTTGGACTGCTTTTTGTGAATTGCTCCTCCTCTCAGAGCTCCAAGGCAATCCTGGGACAGCACCACCATCCTACGTCGCACCGCTCAGCTACCAGCGCTGCCTCATCAGGGAACCCATACACCGAACCCGAGATCTCTGGCACCAGTCTCCCCCTCCCTGGACTACTCCCTGGGCCTGCAGCGCACTCAGCTGTTCAGGTCCCCAGAGTGACTACCGGAAACAATCTATACCATACCTGCTGCTTGTTCTTAAACTCTCTCTCTGGCGAGCAACGCCTCTCATTCACCCCGGGAGACAGTAGCCCAGTCAACTCAGTGTGCCCAGCTGCCCCAAGATCAGTGGACGAGATCGGCTCTGTTTTGTTTGTTTTTGTGGAACATTAAATACGTTTTTCTTGTCTAGCCTGGGTTCGAATCTGCATATTTACTGGGTCCTAAACAACTCACACACAGCTTGTCATAACAAGCTGAGAAACTCCTTGCCAGAGGAGTTTTTAGATTGATGACACAGAGACAAAGAGAGGACAGCTGTTCTTTCTAGATCTGAATACATCTTCAAGATACCTGAAAATCTTAGATATCAGAAACTGCTTCCTGCAGTGAAAGTGTTGATTAATACTCCACTCACTACATTGCTTTTGTAGACAGAAGGTCACATTAGTAATTTATTATGTAGTGTCAGAAATTCAGACAAACAAAAACTGTCAGACTTGGGCTGGCTTTCTCCTAGAGGAAAAGGTTAATAATTTTTATACATTTTCTATTCCTGGTTTGCTTATTCCAGCTTTATAGCCCATATCCAGTAAACCACTAGCCCCACAGCATCTTAAATCATTTTCAAATATGCAGTATTTTCAATAAGAGATTTATGATTTTCTGATACAAATCTATAATCAAACTTCCTAGTAACGAGGTGTCTGTGTGACATGAGAGTTGAATAAGGATGACATGGTTTACCCCAATCACGGGCACACTGTAGTTTAAAATATAGACATCGGTCAGCCGTGTTAATGAAGTTCTTTCTGAAAAGAAAACGCAAGTTTTACATCATATAAATCTTTTACTAACTAAACATTAAGAACCAAATGGTAATCTGTCTATAATCACTGTTTTTTAGGCATGATTTGGCTTCAATGAATTCTTGTGTGCTTGAGGTGTGTCAGTACAGTGTCCCTGATGAAAACCACAAAAGTGCAGGTTTCCACTCTGAATTCTTTTAGCAGAAGCTCTTCTGGAATGTAGACAGTCACATGCAGCGGCTTTTCTATCCAAGAGCCCATTATTTTTGTGCTCACAGCACATCACATTACTTAGTGTACACTCCATAGGTCACAATAAAGCTAACACGGACTGGGTTTGAAAAAAGAAAGAAAAGAGGAAGAGAGGTTTCAGGTTACTTTTCTGTCACAGATTATGTCTTTATACTGATTTCACTCCTCTCACAAGTAAGAAGTGGGAAATCCTGAATAAGGGGTATGGGCTGGGCATAAGGGGAGAGGGGTTGGGGTCTGAGTCATTGGTTAGGGTTAGGCATTTAGGGTTTGGACTGGTTAAGGTTAGGGCCAGGGTAAAGGGGCTGGGTAGTCTAATGTCAGGGGTTATGATTAGGGCTTAAAATATTAAATGGTTATGTTTAGGGTGGGGGCATGGGCTGGGCATAAGGGGAGAGGGGTTGGGGTCTGAGTCATTGATTAGGTATAAGGGTTAGAGTTAATGTGCATTCAATAAACCCAGACCATCACATGTCTCCTGTAGATCTGTAGGGTGTGCCAGTAACTCAAGAGTTTAACTCTTCATTTATGAGGACAATAACATTTTCAGACAGAATTACTTTATTAAAGCAATAGGTCTGGGTTCAACCTGAATGTCTCAGCAGCAGCTGACCTGTTTAGGAATATAGCAAACAGAACCTGTAATGAATTGAGGACATGGGATCAGAGTTGGACAATTCAATGTGTCCACCAATTTCTCAATGAGCTGCTGGTGTTACATGCACACACTCATCATGAGATAACACACATTATAAAAGGTGCAGCCATCAGAATGTGATTAGCTCGCATTAGAATAACAAAAGTCCAGTTTTTTTATAGCATAAGTTGGATTACTGTTAATATCCTTTCTCATTTGTTTGTGCTAAGATAATGATTGTTGGTTTCAGGACTTTACGTTTTACATGATCTCAGCAGTCTCACAGTTCATTTACAGTTCTGTATTTCTTCCACAAAGAATCATAATTCACTGTACTACTTACTATTACATGTATAAATTAACGAGCCACTTAAACCATTTGACACTGCTTAATCTGACAAAGATACAGAAGCATGAGGAATCTCCTGTCTGATTTTTTTGTATTTGGGTCTTGAAACTATATAAAAGCAGAGACACGCTTTTCTGCTTGGCTCAGCTTCTAGACTCTCCAGATGGGCTGGAGGCCTGCTGGCGCTCCAGACTCTGCGTGTGAGAGACAGTATGGGAGTTAGTACATGACAGAGAAGAAAACCAAGAGAGAGGATGTGTAAGGAACAAAGTGACAGAGATTCTAGGTGACAGTCTTCAGGACAAAGCTAGACACAGAGACAGCATATGTGTATGTGTGAGTGTGGGTGGGAAGTCATGTGTTACATATATTGACTTTATGGTTACACACTGAGCCCGACCAGTACCAGCTGTCTTCTATCATGGGTCTCTCCACTTTATCTTTATTTCCTCCCATTCACTTTCTCTCCACATTCTTTTTTCCTTTCTTTTTCACGCTGCTCCTCCATTCTGATATAGTTCAGGCTCAAGCTGCTCTTTTTCACATTAGCGATACTGCAACCATCATTTCTAACTTACCTTTAAATATTTATCAGTGGTCCACCGTTTCTGCCACTGTCGCTCAATGACGTTGAACCAGAAGAGATACAAAGCAGCCAAAGCGGTCATCACCTCAAGGATTTGATAAACGACACTGAGGAAGGAAGGAAGGCAAATACTACAGGGAGAGAGAATCTGAGAGTCTGAGAGAAAAGGAAAGCCAGACAAAAAGGCTGGGAAGATCAAGAAGCATGAGATGAAAGCTCTGCTTAGTTCAAACCAACTCCCAGCTTGCCCTCAAATGTCCTGTTACCATGGTGATTTTACTGTCGATATAGTGCCCTCAGAGACTCTGTCCTGAAACACAGGGGGAGAGAAAGAAAGAGAGGAAGAGAAAGCGTGAGAGAGCAAAACAAAAAGGACAGGCAGAAGGACAAAACAGCACAGGTTGGTTAGACAAAGTCTTCTCTGCAGTGAATATAGAGTACCATTCATGAAACCATCATGCATCAGTCACTGTGGCCTGCAAAAGGATGTTATTAAATATATTTAAAGCATTTAATTTAACCTAAATTTCAGAAATGTGTTAACACATGTCATGGGTTACAATCAAGGTGAGGTTCACGTATTCTGTCTGGAATATCACCCAGATGGACACACTTGTAGGCAAGATGTGGTCTGTATAGAGTGACAGCATCTAAAACCTTCCTTCAAATGAAAATGCAAACCTATGCAAGCTGCACTGCGATGTGGATCAAATGCCTGTCATGTGAAAGGTGCCATTCCTGTGAACCCACAGAGGATTTCCACTTTAATCTGCAGTTCCACTCAGCTCTACAGTGCCACGTCAACACCTTTTAGCACATTGTGTTGGATTTACAGCTTTGTTTAGGTCATTAGGTGGACAAGATGGAGCATCTTTCAACTAAACTAGACACCAAGCTAGAGCTAAAGACAGACTGAATATTGGACTTACATCTATCAAGCAGCTAGCGCACAACTTCAAATGTTAGCTAATGTTGTTCTGCCTTTACTGGGTGTGTGAATGAGCCATATCAACTTAATGTGTTTGCAGGTTATTGTGCTGCCCCCAAGTGGCCATAAAAATCAGATTTAAATGGTTGCTAATGACACCGAAGAAATGCAGTCTTACTGTAAATTATGCCTTTCTATTCTGAGAACTGATGATTAAAGAGGATAGATTTATCATATCACATAGTACCTGCAGAGCTAATTGTCATCTAAATTTACAGAATTTATTTATATAGAATGCTTTATGCACAAAAACGGGTTTTGCCATTTTTATTGGTAATATGACATATTCAGCAATTTTCCCAAATCTATATAATTGTTTTTAGTATATTCACTATATAGTGTTTGTCACTTTCACTAATGCCACTGCTCTCTCTCTCTCTCTCTCTCTCTCTCTCTCTCCTCAGCTGTATCATTCATGAGGCACAGTGCGTCAGCCTTTGGATTTGCTGTGAGTTCCACCTTCCTTCTCCCTAATTGCTTGATCAATTAGTCATAACTTGGGTCTTGGTGAATTATTCATGAATCCTAGTACCAGAGTGTTATTGGTCCCTCTGCCTCGAGGATAACAAGGAAGAGAAGGGGGACTGCGCATAGAGCTCAGGTTGAATGTCAAAATGTCTTTGGGCATGCTAAACAGATAAACTAGCTCATGCCAAAAGCTTCTTATTACTTCTTATGATTTAATGTCAGTGATTGAGAGTTTGATTAATAAAAAATAACAATAAAAGTGAATGAAAATTAAATCATCCACACTCTAGGCCAGTGAGGGGAGCACAAATAGTAATTTGATTAAAATATTATAATCTACAGCACCAGCCTTCTCTGTCTCTTCTTTATTAAAGACTGGTTTTTAATAGGATGATATAGACCTGTGCAGTCTTGTTAGATCTCAGCAGCTGATCGTCATGATGTTGAAAGATGCCATTTTCCTTTTTAGAATTAAAAGAAACATCATCTGACTTGAAAATGAAATTATAATGACTGTGCCTTATTTTATGATCGGGGGAGACAGTCCTCTTTGACAAACGTTAACACTTTTTATCGTTTTAAAGGTTAAAGTATGTTGCAAGTAGTTTTCAGCCACTGAAAAGCAGAATACAGTATAATACATGTTCCTGCAGTGCAAACACAGAGGTCAAACAGTGACCAAACATATTACTCACATGTTGCAGCTGTAGTAATGATGTGCAACTTTCCTTTCTTCCTTTCTCTCATTGGTTACTTGTTTCCTGCTTCTGCTCTAGTTTGATGCCACGCTGGACGTCCTGTCATCAGCCATTGTCCTCTGGCGCTACAGCAATGCGGCAGCTGTGCACTGTGCACATAGAGAGTACATGTAAGTACAAAACAAAGGGCTGAGCTGAATTAATTTTTTATTAAAGATAATCCTGCATGAAAGCAATAGCTTCTGCATTTCACTATTTATCTAGCTAGATAGCAAAGGAGAGAGGTGCTAAAGTAGAGGTAGGAGACAGATGGATGACAACATTCGGTGTGTATGTTTTGGGCCACTGTGAATCTCTAGACAGGCTTGAATCTTCCATAGTGTAGAATTCCCCAAGTCTATGAACTCTACTGTAGAAACGAACATCATTCTTCTAAAAAGATATTCCCCCATTTGGTGTTTTGATGATTGGTGTGAAGAGTGCAGGCTAACACAGCCTAAAATCTCTCAAACAAAAGATATTAGATTGGGTTGAAATCTGGTGACAGCAAAGACCACAGCATATGGTTCACATTATTTTCATACAAATCGAACTATTCAGTGAGCCCACAGTTTTATTAAGAAAGGAAAGTACTCAATAGGACTACTATGGATGCAGTCAAGAGGTGCTCTTGTATTGTAATGTGTAAGGACTTCATCTTATTGCCTCACGATCCAGTCTGTTGCAAGTCTGAAGCAGTGCCAGAACTTTAAGCTGCTGATATATTCTCATATCACTGGCATTTGAACTTTTCATGTCCTTGTGGATTTGAGGGTGTGAAGACATTTCAGTTATGTTAGGTGTACCCAGCTGAGCATCTCCAAAAAAAGATTTCTTTATTTGACTTTTAGAGGGAGTGGAATAATACAGTGCATTCCAAAGTAGTCACTGTATGTCAGTGTACATCACTGCTAAACATAAGCCTCTTAATCCATTGGTTTTCTGGCTGTTAAGTTGCACAGAGCCTTACTTCTTTTACAGCAGCATTTTTGCTTAGGCCAAAGGACAGCAAATGATGAAAGACCAAAGAAGGACCCCACCACCACCACACATATACACACAAACATATACACTTGTATTTATACAAGAAGTAACACACACAAATCTGATTTTTCTACACAGCCAAAACCACACAACAGAAATACTGTACATACATCCATGTATTATCTATACCACTTATCCTGTAGAGGGTCACGAAGAGCTGGAGCCAATCCTAGCTGACAGTGGGTGAGAGGCAGGGTACACTCTGGACAGGATGCCAGTCTATCACAGGGCTGACACATAGAGACAACCACACACATTTACGCCTATGGGCATTTTAGAATCACCAATAAACCTAACCCTCATGTCTTTGGGCCATGTGAGGAAGCCGGAGTACCCGGAGAAACAGGGAGAGAACATACAAACTTTACACAGAAAGGCCCCGGTTGGCCAAGATTCAAACCCCAGAACCTTCTTCAGGCAACAGTGCTAACCACTGCACCACTGTGCAATGGTTAGCACTTGTCCCAGTTAATTTGACAATACATGCTTTAGCACTGAACACAGGTTTTTGTCTTGCTGAAATGCAATATAAAATTTTTGAGTACAAAATTAAATAATTTTTCCAATGTTTTCACTTTAAAACTTGCAATTTCTCAGTGAATTGTGGTAGTTTTATTTTAACCAACCACTGTCAAAATCATTAAAAAAAAACCACCACACCGGTAGACTGTAAATAATCAGCGATGGAGAGGTATTGAATAACCATACAATATTCCATTGCTGCAAGCATCACGGTAGCATCAGTGGTATAACCCTATACTTTGTGTGTTATGTCAGATGTGACATTATACACTGATCACTCTGGCAGCCAAAGTGTCATGGGGCTAGTCAGCATTAGCACAAGAAATTAAATGTTTGCATTAGATGTATTAGTAGGATTACCACCTCACTGTCATATCCTGTCATTGATTATGTTATTACAGACATAATACCCAATTTTCAATTTAATTTATTATATCATAAAAACTCTTACCAGTGTGTCAGATGACCATAGGCCACTGCCAATATCATTTATATGTGTTTACATTAGGTTTCTATGAACATTTCTTTGGGTCTTTGCTGCATCAGGAACATGAAAAATGACCCTGATTTGGGGGGAAAGAGGAATTTTGCAGGAGAAAAAACAAAAATAGAAGAAAGTGTCACTGTTCTTGTGTTAATATCATTTTATTGCTTTGGCTCAGCTTTAGGTTTAGAATCTACATCACACTTGTTGAAACAGTACAGCTTAACATGAGCTAATGCCTAATGTTCTGTGTGTTTGTTGCAGAGCATGTGCAGTCCTGGGGATTGTGTTTGTTCTCTCCTCCATGTGCATCCTCGGAAAGGCCATTCATGATCTGGCTGCCAGGGTGCCCCCACAAGTGGTAAGACCACACACACAGAAACACACACACTGGCTCACTCTTTGTAAGATTTATATTAATTTCAGAAAATATTTCAGGACATGATTTATGTAAGAATTGGGTGAAATGTATTTGTTTTGTTAAAGGTAAAGGTTTGAAGATAACAGGTTTGAGTTTGATGCCTCAGATTCTGTCACAGAAGGGGATTTGCTGGTTGTTCCTCGATCCAGACTTAAAACAAGAGTTGACTGTGTGTTGCTCCTAAACTCTGGAACTCCCTCCCAAAGGACTTAAGATTTGTGGACATTTTTAAAAAGCAGTTCAAGACCCATCCATCCATCCATCTTCCTCTGCTTAATCCGCAACCGGGTCGCGGGTGCAGCAGTCTAAGCAGAGATGCGCAGACTTCCCTCTCTGCAGACACTTCCTCCAGCTCCTCCGGGGGGATCCCAAGGCGTTCCCAGGCCAGCCGAGAGACATAGTCCCTCCAGTGTGTCCTGGGTCTTCCCCAGGGCCTCCTCCC